TACATCGGCCTTTGCCTGCCGTGGCTCCTCCTCCAATTTAGCCATCTGCCTCACGGAATCGGCATTATCATGAATGAGCTTCTTCAGCTTCTCATCCTCATGTGCCTTCCGAAGGCGCCACTCTTCAAGCCTTCGGGCCTGCTCACCAAGGGCAATGCAGGTCTGCAAAACGAAACGGTTAGGACACCATCCAAAAATACTCTAAGGCGAGAAGAACAGAAATGATGAAAGAGAAACTTATAGTAAGGGAGGAACGAAGGATCTTATTATCAAGGGCCTCATCGTCCATTCGGCTGAGGGCAGCCTTGTCTAGCGAGGGGGTGGCACCTCTCAAGAACTCCTTCGGGTCCACCGTGCCATGCACGATGGACGTTCCCTTAAGGGGAGCGAACTCGATACACTCCCTAGGCAGGCCCCCCTCATCCACGAGGGTCTGGGAAGGAGTCATCGACACGACCGATGTCTCAGAGGATGAATGTCCCCCAACAATCACCACAGAAGGGGCTTTCTTCTCAGCATCCCCCTTCTTCAGCTTCTTGCCAATGGGGTGACTCCTTTGCCGGCCGCCTTCCTCTTGGAGGCAGCTACGACATCATCAGTAGGTACCGTCGAGGGCTCACCACCCTTCTTGAAAAAGTCGTCGACTGGCTTCTGCTTGCCCGACTCCTTTTTTCCCTGGCCCTTCGCCTTTTACTTCTTTAAAGCAACAAAGGAGTTGATATCCATGTTTGAACCTGCAAAACAACAAAAGCGATTAAGCCGAGGGGATCAACTACGGAACAAAAATGAAACGAGTGAAAAATTTTTCTAAGTACAAAAGCCAAGAGCCCCCGGGAACTACCTCCGGTGCTCTCGAAGGCTCAGTCAAGAACGGGGTACTTCTCATCTCGTTCCCCAAGAAAGCGGTAGTGCCGGAAGCCAAGGCTATACAAATCATCCCCGAGGGTCATCTCCTTGACCGACACGTGCTTTTCACACCCCACCGAGATGGCAGAAATCTCCCATCTTTCTCGAGGGCAGCACTCTCCACCTTCGGGTGCCTCCTAAAACAATTCCTCAGCTCCCTCGGGAATGGGTCGTCCGCCATTCTGATATAACAAAAACAGTCCCTCCAGCCCTCGTGGAATGAGGGTACGTCATCAAAAAGCCTCCACGGGGCATTCTGCTGCAAGTTCGTGTAGCCCTCAGAATTAGTGTGACCTCCCCGGCATAAGTTGAAACTTTGGAAAAAGAGGTCGAGACTGGGGGCCGCCCCCCGAGACTGGTAGAGTTGGAGGAACCCGGTGATGTAGGAGTGGCTGTTCGGGGTGAGTTGGCAGGGAGCTAATCCTACATACCGAAGGTATTCGAGAAGGAATGGGTGCAACGGAAACCGAAGTCCCATTGACACCGAGAGGATGTGGACTTCGAAGCACCCCTCGAGAGCTTGGGAGAGTAAATCATCAGGGCCCGGTTCTACCACCGTCACTGAAGACCCCACATGCAACTGCGTCACATAGCATTCGGCTTGGTCAGCCCTCGAGCTTATCGCCAGGGCAGCAGTGTTCAACCATGAGTACCCCTCTGGTATCCCCACGGGCTTTCCACAACCAGCAGCACTCCCCTTCTTTTTCTGGGGCCCCCAACGTCTTCTTATTCTTCTCCCCCGGGGCCACCCTGAGAGGCTCCGGGTTGAGCGGCCGGGAGCTGTTAGCCTCACCAGCGTTTCGAGGGGGTGGGACGGCATCAGTAACCTTCATCCTTTCCTTTTGCTCCTCTTCCTCAGCAACCTGAACCACGAGGGCCAGCTCCTCGTCATCGTTCACTTGTTCGAAGTATTTGGCCTCCATTTCCACCCGAAGATTGTTCTGAACCTCCTCAGCTACGGCCAAGTCATTTCCGGCCGAGAGCTGTTCGCTCGAAGACTCCACCTCGAAGACGCTTTCTATCTCAGCCGAGGGCTCCCTCGAGATATCTTGCGAATCACTCTGTGATGACATTCCTTGGGAGTCGAGGGGTTCGAAGGAAGAAATTTCCCTAAGGATCGCTAACACTAGATCTAAAGGCCACAGGGCTAAACTCATTAAAAAAGTGAAGAACGGGTGAAGAACTGACCTGGGGAGCACTTTCTCTCTCTACAAACAAATTGGCAGAGCTTCGCTAAGACAACACAAATCGCACAAGGGGAAAGGGTCAGGCCATGGGGTATTTATAGACTCCCCAATCCGGGCTTGGGCCGAAAACCGGGCCCCCGGATGCCAAAGTCATGATTACAAACCGTCGGTTCAACCAACCGGTGACACCCACCCATAGATGGCCAACGAACACGCACCACGTGGAAGCCCTCTCCAACGGTCATATTCCAACGACTATTTTCTTAAAACCCGGAGCTGTCCCCTGAATAAACACCCTTCATGCAAGAATGTGGCCAGCCCTCGAACTGTCATATTTAAAAACCCCTCATCAACAGTGATCCCCTAACTTCAAAATGGAAAAACCCCACGGGAACCTTTGGCCCTCATCGACACTAAGCCTCCGGCATAAATACTAAGGGACCCTCTCGGCAACACATGAACTACCACTCACATTCATCACGCCCTCAACCCCAATGACCGAGGGACTCCCCTCGGCATCACAAGGATATCAACGAAGTGCCTTTGGTAAATCAACAAGCAAGCCCTCAGATCACGGGTAGCCGTCGGCCTCAACACTATGCTCAGGTCAAGGGTTAACCTGTTCGATTCATCATTGGGGGAACTCGGTGCACTCTTTTTCCCTCATTAGGATTTTTTCCCACAGGGTTTTTCTTAATGAGGGTTTTAACGAGGCATCCCCCCAAAATGAAACGAAAAGCGTCAACCCTCGGCCCTATGCTGAAGACAGGCACTGCTATACTCCTTTTCACCACATTACATGTGCCTCAAAGGAGTGGGGGACTGGAGACCCCCCTTGGGAAAATCATAAAATATTACAAACTTATCAACATAATCCTTCAAAGTCCCAAAATGTGGGGAACTGAGGGACTGCCCTCGACAAAATGCTCAGATGAAAAACACCTCGCAAACTTTACAAACTATAGTAAGGCAGCATCAGAGGATAAACACTACTACTCCTTTTCCCTCAAGTACCTTTCGACAAAAGGAGTGAGGGACTCCTGATGGAGTATATGACCCAGGGTCCTCCGGCCCACATACTTCCACTACCGCAATCAGGCCCAACAGGCCCAAACGGGCCAAGCCCAGCGAGATGGAGCTCTGTGCAGCCCACAATACACAAAGGGATGCCTTCGGCCCCATGGCCGAAGGCTACCAATGACGGAATCGATCTCAGAAATATCACAGGAGAACAAGGCTTGAAAACTAAGCCTTCGGCACTTGGAGCCCTCGGTCCAAAGAGGCCCCCGGTAGGAAGAGCCTTCGACCCAACACAGTTCCGCCGAAGGCGTCCTCCTCGACAGGATCTCCTCTCCACACGCGCCTGAATCACCGTACCAAGTACAACTTCGCATCCAACCACCACATTTAATGCGGCCACATGCAAGTGCTGGTGCCACCCCGATTGAGGTGACCCTCGGCCGTCAGATGCTTGACACGTGTCTCTGTCTAACATTTATTGCTGCTATAAATAGCACACCTTTTCCCCATTGTAAACCACAACTTGAACACTCATTCTATATTCGAACTCCTTTATCTCTCTTACTTATTTGCTCTGACCTCTCTCTAAGTTATTCTCCGCAATAACCCCTCGGATAAGCTACCTCCCGGGTACACTATCCATCACATGTCTTGATCCTAGAGATAAGTTCTCCAATTTATGTGAGTCAAAACTATTAAACCTCGCGGAATTATATTCATGCGCTTTTTCATTTGTTGATCGAATAGAGCTGAAAGAGCAACTCCAGGTTTGGATATATGAAATGAGAACAAATAATTAATTTCTGCCGTACAGACTACCGGTGAAGTTTGTAAAAAGATGGTTGGGCTTGCAGTTCAAAATTCTTTTCACTTGGTATATCGTCCGATTGAGTTGACTTTAGTATTACCAGTTGCAACAAACACCGTTGAAAGAGTCTTCTCCGTGATGAATATTATCAAGACAGATCTTCGCAATAAGATGGGAGATGATTATCTTACATATTGCTTGGTATGCTACATTGAGAGAGATTTTTTAGAAGTATTGATAATGAAACTATTATGCAACATCTCTAGAATATGAAAACTCGTAGGCTTGATTTACCAACGTTGCAGAAATGAACTATTTATTATATAATTAACTACTCCGTACTCCGTATAATTTATGCTATTGCCTCACATTTTACCATCTTTATTACATTTGAAGTTTTTATTATAGATTAAGTTTAGTGTCTAGTGTGCCCTTGCTCTCACAAATCTTTGGGTCCGCCACTGAATGTTAGAGCCCATAAAAGAGCCACGTGGTATAAATTATATATATTAATATGTTAATATAAATTATATATATATTAATGTATTAATATAAAACTAAATTGTTGGGTTTTTATTTTGACTAACTTCCCACTGAATCGTGCACGAAGGAAGTTTTCAGGAAATAAAATTCCTCTCCATGGGATTTTCAAAAGCAGCGCCCATTTTATCCGAGGAATCTCCCACCCCGGAGCCCCACACCCCGACCCGACAGGACACATGAAATGAAAGGATGTAAACCAAGGTGAATCAGTCCAAAAGTAACAATAAACTCATATACCCTCGCACGCTAGAGGATCGGGCCCATTTCAGAGACGATAACTCCTCACAGTCACAATGCCCATTTTATCCGAGTCAACAAGTGTTGAAGCCCGTCTATGCACACCCATTACTCTTCACAGTGTGAAGGTTTTTTTGACAGGTCAGCAAACCTTGTTCACGAACTACAAAAGTTGGAGCACAAAACAGTCCGGGACATGTTTAGGTTTGAGAAGGGGAGAAGGTACCTGATTGTTTGAGCAAATACTGCAGTTTTAGTTAAGCGTAGAGATGCCTACGTACAAAATAAGGGGAATTGAAGTGGACTTCCCCTTCGAGGCTTACGATTGCCAGCTTGTTTACATGGAAAAAGTCATCCAATCTCTTCAAAATGTATTACTTGACTCTCTTTTCTAGTTATTTATTTATTTATTTATTTATTTATTTATTTATTTATTTATTTCGTTCTTTGTTGTAAAGTGTCGTGCTTTAGGAAAAACTATTCTGAGTTGCCCTTCATTTGAAGCAACCGATTGGGAACGGCTAATTGTACCACAGAATACCAATATGTTAAACGGGTGACAATTTTTTTTGGAGATAAATTTTGGGAATGATAACGGTTTAGAAGCAGTAATAAAATTGATTAAACTTGAGCAATTTAATCATTGTTACTGGTTTCTTGAGAAAATGAGTCATTTAACTTACTCATCTGGTCACTTCATGACTGAGGTGATGTAAAAGTCATAATTGGATAAATGTTTCATAAAATCAATTGTTTCTAACAGGGCATGCCATAGTAATTAAGTAAGGGGTTTTCCTGTTAGGCAATCCTAAGGAAGCCCAAAAAGAAATAGCCACATACACAACAAACAATTACTTAACAAAATCTGGAATGCCTGTAACAAGAATTGTTGTACTCACTACTCGTGCCACTATTAACCTTTATCTCAACACAAAATTATCAATTTTTAATTGTTACCACTTTCCACTACTTACTAGGGAATTTTGTGTTGAAAATTTTATGTTGCAGAAATGTAATGCACTATTAGAGAGTCCGACTGGGACGGGAAAGACACTTTGTCTTCTTTGTGCCACATTGGCTTGGAGGAAGAGTTTGGGCAGTTTTTCTGTGCGCAAGTGTGAAAGAAAACGTCAGAGTGGAGGCTGCCAGGAGATGGGTAATAATTGTTCAGTATCACAGTCTGAATCATCAAAATTGCCTGCTATTATATATACATCACGCACTCACAGTCAGATTAAGCAAGTGATTGATGAGTTGAAAAGGACGAACTACAGGTCAGAGGTTCAAAGCTTTTGAGTGTAGTCTTATTGTCTGTGAATATTCTTCAGCTCTAGTATCAACCTTTCAAATTGTTGCTCTGGCATTTTAAAACTAATTTTGACCGGATATTATGTAAACTGCAGGCCCAAAATGGTTGTATTAGGATCTCGAGAACAATTGTGCATTCACGAAGAAGTAAGTTTATTGCGTGGGAAAATACAGAATAATGCCTGCCATTTGCTATGCAAAAGAAAGGCAAAAAAGTATTGTGCACATTTTCCTCGTGTCACAGGTATGGGTTGTACTCTGCATTCAATTTTGCTTACTGTGTACACTTCCAAGTCCTAAGTCCCAACTAACAAACCATCGTAACACTTTCCTATGACTGTGCCTAATACTCTCTCATTCCCTCAGGATGAATTTCTGCATCTTTTCTTAATGATTGCCTCTCCATGCTTAAATGCATCAGCAGCATATGCAATTATTTTATTACATATGGTTGATCACTAGTTGTGACTTGTGAATCCTACGCGGCAACACTATATTTCATTTTTTTATATTAAGAATTCAATATTTATTATGCCTTGGTCAGTACGTTTGCCTGAACATTTGCAGAGTTTGTGAAGAGAAATCCTACTTTCGGAGATGAACCTATTGACATTGAGGATTTAGTGAACATCGGAAGGCGCAATGGAACGTAAGTTTTGCACAACCTTTTCCGTTCATGCTGATAGACCTTTACAAGCTAATAGCTCTTCAACTATTTTAGGTGCCCTTATTATCTCTCGCGTGAACTCCACATGGATGTTGACATCTTATTTGCGCCTTACAACTATCTTATTGATCGAGAAAACCGGAGATCTTTGGGTATTGAGTGGTCAAACAGTATACTTATCTTTGATGAAGCTCACAACTTGGTATACTGCTGCTGTCTAACCGTAGTATATGATTTTTTATTATGCACTTTGTTATGGTTCATGTCTCAACACCTAGTATATGTCATTGTACAAATGTTCTCGTTGCGGTCTGGCCAGATAAGGGAAAATCTTTTTTGCCTGTCATACACGTAGCACTTGTAAGGAATTGCATCATTGCATGCACAACTATAACAAAGAACATAAATCTTCAAGTGTATTATCAAGTATTCAATATATAGTCCTTTTTTAACATGAAATTCACATGGGTGAAATTTAGTTTGGACATATAACTATATTTTTTCTTTTCTAATCGCACAATAGGAAAGTTTATGCGCCGATGCAGCCTCTTTTGACATGCCCGCAGGGCTTTTGACAGCTTGCATCTCTGAAGCAAAGAACTGTGTAGACCTTTCCATTGCGAGGAGGGAAATGTCAAGTGACAAATCGTGCAATCCAGATAACTTTGCCATTCTCAGGGGTAATTAATTCATCATGTATAATATTGAGCATGTCATCATGCTCATCAATGGTCCAATTATGATCTTCTGTTTTTGTTCCCAAGAAATTGACAAGCACACTTACATCTTGCAGCACTTCTTTTGAAGCTTGAGAAGAAAATTGCTGACATTCCTATTGGTTCTAAAGAACTCGGCTTTACAAAACCCGGGCCTTACATTTTTGAGCTACTTGCTGATCTTAACATCACTCATCAAACAGCCAACATGCTCATTGATACAATTGAAGAATCTATAGTACTTCTCCAGGAAGGTAGGTAAGCCTCTTGCCTAAAGAGTTGATACACGTACTAATTAACAGACCAAATATCTAGCATATGTTACCAGCAATTTATTTAGCTGAATGAGATAAAGGGACTTGTTTCACATCTCCTATTGATTTGTGTCAATTAAAGAAATTGTTTTGTGTATACCAAAAAGAGTTTCCATATACCAAGGTTTTGTTTATTTAGGTTTGCTTTGTTTAGACTTTGGAGTGGTTATTTGTGATATTCAAATCATTTCTCATGAACGGCAGTAATTGTTCCTTTGGACCGGTGCAGGCGTTACTGATAAGGAAGGAGTGCACATGCAGCATTGTAGACTGGAAAGCATGGGCGAATATCTTAGGATGATTTTTAGAGGTGCTGGCAATCCTCATGCCAAATACTACCGTGTAAGTTGACTAAGTTCTAAGGTGTACTATATCATTTACAGCCAGGTATTGTTTCTGCTGTTTCCATGTTCTTTATATTGACTAAGCTTCCTTAAGCTTATAATTTTTTTTGCAGGTTCATGTTCAGGAAGTCGAAGGAAGTGGTCATGATGCCTATAAAGGTATGACAATGTTTTCTTTGGTTGAATTGATGAACTTTAGCTCTCGGACCAGATGAATGTGAAGATATTCATTCCATACTATTTTCATTTTCATTCACCCTTTCTCAAGTACACACTTAAATAATGTGCTTGCTACTTGTTCTTTATTCTTTCTAAATACAATTATTGTTATTTTACATTTCATCGTTTTGAATGCAATAATCTTCCACTTATAATGCTCTTTAAATGAGTGCCTAGGGCGATTTGGAAGGCTGTAGCCCGCTTGGCAATTTAAATATTCTACCTTCGAAAAGGATTTAGCTTGTGTCAAACTGAATATTTGAATTCTCATCCTTTGTAAGGCTCAATATATTTTTTCTGCAAAATTTTTTCTGCAAAAAACATTCTGAGATAATCTGTGCGAATTTCTGTTTGTATTTATCATTACTTCTTTAACCACGAAATACTCCACTTATATTTTTCGTACAAAGTTTCATCTTTCACACGAATTCTCTACTCACACACACACTAGATTCTTTACTTGTGCGTTGCACCGGATGCATAGGTTCGAGCAACTCAGATTTACATCTCTCAAGAGTTTGGGATGGATTCTTGAGATCACAAAGTTAGTTCGACAAACTCGGGATCAATTCGTGCTAACAAAAACACTTGTCATTAGCAATGTAAATATTCTATTACATATTTGTGTTTATAGAATATAGTTACAGAGGATCTAAGCAATTGTTGAACGCTAAAATTGTTACTTAACTTTACCATATTATAATATCGTAAATGTTCTAATATGTGTTAATTAAAATTCTGCCAATCGGCAATTATATAGTACTATTATTATGCATACTCTCACTACTTTATTATTCTTAATTGAAAATATTCCAATTACTCCGTATTATATTACTACTACTATTATTATTACTAATTGCTGATTATTAATGTAATTCTTATTGTTTAATGGTTATGAATCATTAAATGTGTGATTGGGCGGTAAAACCAAGGTGACAACCTTGTTATTATATATTATTATAGATAGATATATTATTATAGATTACTAATTGCTAATTATTAATGTAGTTCTTATTGTTTAATGGTTACGAATCATTAAATGTGTGATTGGGCGGTAAAACCAAGGTGACAACCTTGTTATTATATATTATTATACATTATAGATAGATAGATATATAATGTTCCATTAATTTCCTTTGCTGCAGATAAGGCATCTAGAATGTTAAGTTGGTGGTGCTTCAATCCAGGAATTTCCATGGAAGAGTTCTCCAAATGGGGTATTGGATCAATTATATTGACATCAGGCACACTGTCTCCATTGGATTCATTTGCTGATGAATTAAAGCTGTAATTATCTTATACACTGTCCTTACTATTTTCTTACATTGTGGTTTTGTCATAATTGATTTCCTTACAAGTTATTACTTCCAACATTTGCAGAGAATTCCCTATTCGTTTGGAAAACCCTCATGTCATATCAGAAGATCAAGTATGGGCAGGGGTTGTACCTGTTGGCCCATCTGGTTACCCTTTCAACTCTTCTTATCGAAGTCGTAATTCTATTCAATACAAGATAGATCTTGGCAATGCCATTGGTATGTCTGCCTGTTAATGGTTTACGACTTTATGGTGCCTTACACATTTTTCTTATATCGATTTGACAATTTCCCACCTCTCAAACTGAGCTGTAATGTGCCTATCTGGATTCTAGACATCCATGCATGATCTTTTAGGGTCAGCTTGGATGGAGGTTTTCTGAGGGTTGTGGACGGGGTAGAAGTGTGTATCTTGGTATATGTTTATGAGTTTATAAAATTTGATGGAGTAACATAGCGGTGATCATTTAACATTCCAATTACCCTTTGTTTTAAGAGATATTCTATTTATCAAAATTTGGACTAAGCATTCCCATCCATAGTCCATCCCAACCAACCTTTAAAGAGATTGTATTTGACAGAGTTATTGCTTATTGAACTTCTGTGGTCCAGTCAACTTTGCTCGAATCGTACCAGATGGACTTCTTGTGTTCTTTCCATCATACTATTTCTTGGACCAATGTGTTGGGTGCTGGAAATCAATGGTAAAGTACTATCATATTTATGCAAATAATGATGTTTATTCTTTATTTTTTGGTGCTTCTCTGGTTTTAGTGGTTTACATTGCCAGATACTGTATAGGATAACGGAAACTACACAAGTTCTAGTACAATCTGGGAAAGGATATGCAAACACAAGCTACCTGTTGTGGAACCAAGACAATCTGCTCTCTTTCCTTCAGCAATTGAAGTAACCAAAATACAACCTTGATTAAGTTATTATATCATTGTTGACCTATAATGGTGATCTTACTTTGACTCTTCTTCTTTTATAAAGGACTATATGTCTAAGTTGAAGGACAAATCAGGTTCTGGAGCAGTGTTTTTTGCAGTCTGCCGTGGAAAGGTACATATACCAATATACCATACAACTTGATTTTGAGTTTTTAACTGGATAAGTCACTTATGGCAAATCGTTTGAAAACTTATTTGAATTTCAAAATGCTAATGTATCTCTGGGACTACTAATTTTAGAGCGTGATTATTTAGCATGATTATGGTGCACTGGTAAAGGTTCTGCTGTGTGATTGCGAGGTCACAACTCACAAGTTCAATTCTTGGGAGCGGCCTCTTGTCAAAATTACAATGGAAGGCTTGCCTCCTATACACTCTTGTTATGGGACCCTTCCCTTCACCCTTGCCTTGCAGGACGCCAATGTGCACCTGGCTGCCCTTTACTTTTCGGAATATTCCCCTCTACAATCACCTTTTATGCTTACATAATTTATGGAATAGGTGAGTGAAGGATTAGATTTTGCTGACCATGCTGGTAGAGCTGTGGTGATCACTGGCTTACCATTTGCAACAACAAATGATCCTAAGGTTTGTCTTCTTTCTCTTTGTTCCTGAAATTTATGAATATGCCAGTTGTTAATTTGCTAAGGGCAGTTGACCTTTAACCTTTTATCTCATGATTTCTTCGTAATAAAGTTTGCGACATGAAAGGCATCTTATGTAAAACAATGCCACTTTGCTTTTCACATGAATTTATAAAGTTCACTAATTTTAGATAATGACTTGGCACTAAGATTTTCATGCCACATGCCTAAACTAGTTGGGAGTAAGGTGCTGATAATGATGAAGATTGACCTTTAAATGTCTATCTCACTCCATTACCTTTACCCTAGTATGAAGTATCTTAATTGTTATATATTAGCTATTACTCTCACCGTCCCATAAAAGAATCTTGTTTCAAAATATTTTGTCGTCCCAAAAGAAGAACAATGTTTTATTAATTTATCTAATGAAAAAGAAGAAATATGTCAAAGTAAAATAACAAACAAGTTTAATATCATAATTATAGTTAAACTATAAAAAACATAAAAACAATATGTACTAATCATTTATGACATACAAATTGTACCTTGCCAAAGATAAAAATTTGTACCTTGTTCAGTTAAGACTCTTTTGTGAGACCTAGGGAGTATAATACATCATGATATGTTCTCCAATCTTCTACTTTTGTTTGTGGTATGTTATTCAGGTTCGTTTGAAGCGTGAGTATATGGATCAGCAAGCTCAATCACAACAATCAACATCAAAGGTATTATTCTGTGACCTAGTCAAGCGGTGATGTTTTTTTTCATATTTTTCTTTTCTCTGTGTCTTCTTTGCCCTTCCTGCTTTGGTTATACTAGATGGTGATCCACAGGGCCTTACTGGAGGAGAGTGGTATAACCAACAAGCATTGCGTGCTGTTAATCAGGCTGTTGGTCGTGTCATTCGACATAGGCATGACTATGGGGCTATAATTTTTTGTGATGAAAGGTTGTTTGCAAACTGGTCTTAGTATATACCTGCATTTACTATTCTGGAATTTGTTTACTCACCCTCTAATTTAAATAACACTTCTAATCTGAAACAGGTTCGCTAATCCAAATTGTCTAGCCCAAGTATCACGTTGGATACAGCCTCATATCAATGTGTGGTTTGCAATTTTGTCTGGCTTTTTATTCAAATTCTTAGTTTGTATTTCTCCATAATAAAGCAATGCATTTGTTTTTCATGTGCAGTGTTACTCCAAATTTGGTGAGGTGGTTTTCTCACTCACTCGTTTCTTTCGAGATGGAAGGGTATCTGGCCCAACCAAGTTAGAGCTCATGCGGTCTGATTCAAGGGGTAAATTTGGATTTTCAATTTCATTTTTACCCTTTTAAAAAAAGATTTAATATTTATGAGGTGCTTAGGGAAGCTAATTCTTTGTGTTTAAGGGTAGTGATATGTGCAAAGTTTTATTGCATCTGATAAAAAATACTTTTTTTTTTGCAGAAAATGTCAACAGTGTAAAAGACTGCAAAGCTCAGTTTGATATTAAAATTTCGGGCACTCCGGTAATTCTCCAACTTCTCTCTTTGCATGGTATATTTCTTTCAATGTGAGGATGAATATCCAACTTATTCCTTTGTCTGCAATGATTAGTCCTTGCCTGTACTCTCTGCTCACAATGGGATACATCGCAACAAAAGTGTCATTAATCTGGAAGAAATAGTCCCTGCCAACAAGTCATCTCTAAAGTCCGAGAAGGTAGTTCAGAATTTGACTGTTGAACAGTCAAGTAATTTGTTTGAATTTGAAAACAAATTGTTTGCCGCTTTGCGGAAAACACCGGTAGCTAGCCATCATAAAGCGGATGATTTGATCAAAACAACCTTGGATAAACAGCCTGATGAGGCTAGTGAACCTTGTCCTTCAAAGAAGCCTAGATTGGTTATAACCGGACCTGATCGGATGGGTCGTTCGGGCCAAGCCATCAAAAGTTGCAATACGTTGGACGGTGGGAGATTAACATTATCTGGACCTCGAGAAAAGCTACATAAAGATGAGATAGAGTTACAAACAGAGGTTGCTTTATCTAATAGCCATGGAAAATTGTCTAACTCTGCCACATCTTCTGAAAATGTGGAAGACAAAGGATCCACATTTCTTGTCCAGGTGAAAAATCTTTTTCTTTAATCCACACCACATGGAAAGGATTAAGGTTTTTGTGTGCATAGGGTCTTGCTAGAAAATACTCCTCATGTTCTTATTTTCTGTCTACATTATTAGAATCACACATATTAAGAAATTTATATGAATGTTTAAATTTTAAAGGGTATTTGCCACATATTACTAAAATGATATTCATGGCAAAAAATATAACTAAATGGTCAGCGTGAGCACCTGCACTGTCACTGCACTTGCGGAATATGATTACTTAACTTAGGAGGTTACATTTATGATCATGACTTTTATATCAGCAATATATTTATCATTATTTCTTAAATCAATAAAAAGTACGTATCTGTTTATGCCAAATAATACAAAATGTGTTAAAATGTCTTTTCATGTTTTTCAATGTGCTTAAAATTTAGATTTGAATGATAAACATTAAAAAGAATTAACTAACTGGTGATCCATACATTTAATAAGTGAACACATAAAGAACCATAAAAACATCAAAATGTAGGATGGATGTGACTTAGTAATTTATTTTCTGTTATTTGTTAATGTATCTTTCGTCTAAACAATTTGCTTGCCTGATTACCCTTTTAACAATTTGGTGTTGGTTTCTTTAACTGAATTATAGCATCTTTTTTCTGAATTGTCCATTCAGGTGCGTGAGAAGCTTAGTGATGTAGAGTACAAAGAGTTTATTGGTTATATGAAAGACTTGAAGTTCAAAGCAATGAAAATTGGGCAGGTTTTGGAATCCATTGCAAGATTATTTTCTCTCCCTGATAGATTTCCTCTTCTTCAAAGGTTTGGATACTTCCCAATGATGGGTAGTTAAGTTTTTTCAAGTATGATCAAGTACTAGCTAGTAGTGGCGTAAAGAAGATACATCAAGCTGACATTACATACTTATCCAGCAGCTGATTTCTGTTTCTTAATACGTAGTAGTTAATACTAATACTGTACTGGACTTGTTCACTTCTGCCGATAAGGTTACGATCGATTATTAAACAAAAATACCACTATTGCTGGCATTGTTTAAACCAAATCTTTCAGATTATTTGTGGGATCATGGCTTGTTCATCTAGGCATAGAATGACATACAACCTTCAACTTTAATGATAACTAGTATGCTATATAATATAATCTGTTTACTACTATATACTCCGGTAGTTTACAAAACATAAAAATAAAATAGTTGATTACAGAAAAACATCGTTTTGTATAAGTGGTTTTTTTATCCTTATCCAAAATTTATCATACCTCTGCTCTTTATAAATTAATCGTGTTCTTGAATTGAAAAAGATTTTGGGCTTGAGTTTAATTTTCTTTAATGTGCTGACAGGTTCAAAGATTATGTCCCTGTCAAGTATCGATCTTTATACGAGCAGTACCTAAAAAGGGCGTGATTCATGCTACTGCTCTCAACTCTCACGCAACGTGTAATCCCGGATTGGATACAAGAATATTCTTTTGAATAATGGAAATTCCTACCTTGGTTGCAAATCCAAGGGTTCAACATTCTCTTTTAGATTTTTCATCCTTGAAGGGAAGTTGCACCTCTCTAATCTCTAGCAACGCATTGTTTGGGTGCCACATTGTAAGCCGATTTTGCAGGGTTGTAGCACCCAAAGATCCAAAACAAGTAATGGCCGTTATCAGTGTATCTTGCACATAATCTAAAAGCATAGTTGTAGTGAACCTATAACGATGATTATTTATTTATTTCTGTATTATTAGGAGCATAATTTTTTATGTAGTACAGTTTTGAACCTTTGAAAATCACATGTAAATGCAGCAATGACTTATTAAATATTTGGTTTCTATAATAGATTTGTTTGTTATTCATCACATAAGTAACATGACCGTACTAGAATCATGATTAATGTACTCCATGTCAGTTAAAGTTCTGTCTCATCTTTATCTGCAGATCCGATCTCTGGTGACTTTTTGGCCGAAATTCCACCGGAACATACGATGAAAATGGTGATCAGGTTGACAAAGGCACTTAGAATGTACTTATATGATTTCTTGTCATTCAAGTTCAAATAACAAAGGAGGAGCTCTTGCATGAATTCCCAGTTGAGATTCCCATGATGTTTCACCCATTCTTCTGTCATTTCTTGAATGGATCGCTTGAATTCCTCGCGAGGATGAAGCATACGTTAAAACTGTAATATGGTGTCTTCTAGACTTGATGAACTTTCACCGTTGCAACAGAATAATAAATCATCAAATGTCTTTTGGATCACATCCACAAGGAAAAATGGATTCCGTGTTGGTTTAACGTGCTTTTTTTTTCTATTTCTTCGTTTTTTGATCATTTAGATAAGTGGACCTAAAATTCTCAAATAGAAAACAGTTGACGTCGGCTAATGTATCGGTGGGTGTCATCATCTGAAATGGCTAACGGTTGTGTCTAGGCGTGGACTCGGGCCGGGTCGGGCTGCTGGTTTGTATGACATGGGCCCGGGACCGGCCCGAGGGTTGGACGGGTCCGGTTCGGGCCGGGCCACCCGCCTGGGTCACGGGTCGGGTCCGGTTCGGGCCGGGCTGGTTAAAGTTTTTTTTTATAATTTATATTTTATAGTTTATAGTTTTATACGAGTATTAAAAACAAACTTCAAGTGCATTTATTTGAAATGAAATAGGAACTACATTTGAAAATTAAAATAAACTTTAAGAGTAACATTTTGAAAATTGTAATCAATCGGAACTTCCCGCACCTCCCGATCCTTTGGCTTTGTCACATGACTTCATATGCTTGATTGTCATCCTGTATCTGCCTGAAATCCCCATGCTACATTTTTTCTCGCACCATTTGCAAGTTGCGTATCACATCTCGGTCTTCGGGTCCTTCTGCTTATCAAAATTATACCGTATAATGGCATCTTGATTTTCCATCTTAACTTCTTAAGTATAAACTATAAAGTAGATATATAAATAATAAATATAATATATTGGAGAATAAGAGAATTAGAGAGTAGAGAGATAAGAATATGATTTAGGAAGAATTGGAGAAGAGATATGAAAAAATGTTTAAGATTAGGAGTATTTATAGGTTTTTTTACCCCCCACCCCCACCACCACACCCCACCCAACCCCCCTGGACCCCCCAAGACCCACCCAACGGCTATGTAGCCGTTTGGGTTGTCCCCAGTCCACCCATAACAGCCAGTAGCCATTTAATTTTTTTTTAAATATGACCGTTGGACCCGGACCCGGGCCCGACCCGGTCGGGCCGGGTCGCATTTTTCCTGAACCGTGCCCGCCCCGCCCATTCCCACCGGTTCGGGTCTACACCCGGTCCCAGACCGCCCGACCGGGCCGGTCCTGGGCCCGCACAGTACCGGGCCGGGTCGGGTCACGGGCCGGGTGGTCCGAACCGAATCCACCCCTAGTTGTGTCTTTGGCCGCCTACATCCTTTGAGGATCCAATTTGTGGAAGATGAAATATTTGGTTTCTTAATCTTGGAGGAGCAATGGGGGAATGTTTTTTGACGAGGTTTTGTTACTTGTGTAGGTGTGGTCATGTGCTATATCTCGGATGAAGCTAACACTCGTCAGTTCTGTCAATGGGTCGGGTCCGGGTCGGAACGTAGTGTTCCAGACCCGGATCCGTTAAGTTAATAATGGACCCGGACCCGACTCGTTTACCCGGCGGGTCTGAAAATTTGGACCCGGACCCAGACCCAACGGGTCTCGGAATCGGGTCGGGTAGACCCGCTTGCCAAGTATGATACGCACACCATTATAAACTTTGTGAAAATAGCAAAACATGTATGTGAAATATACAACAAAGTGTACAAATTTAAAAGCAAAATATATCTTCACTTTTAAAAAAAAAATCAAGGTCTCTCATAGAAAATGATTACTTTTATCTAATAAAGTATCAGTTCTTGACTTCTTGTACAACCATATAGCTCCACACTTTGCGCGTTTTCTCTCGCACAAAAAACTCGTAGAATAAAGTAGAAATTAAGTCATAAAAAGGTCTCTTGGAGTACTAAGAGTATAAAATCACATGTAGTATTATATATGATAATGATATAATAATATTAATAATAATAGTAATAAATATTAGTTTTAGGGTATCTTACTATCTTGATCAGTATCACTTATATACTCCGTAGTATTTATGTATTAATGTGTATATTTTTATTGAATAACCACAAATTCACAACTAATAACTTTACGTATTATTATGTATATATGTATATTAGTTTCTATTTTATTTAAAGTGTTATAACTAATCACTTTATGTTTGAGTGTGTGTATACAAATAAGAAATTTTAAACGGGTCTGGGTCCTTAACGGGTCGGAATCATATGTACCGTATCTGACCCGTTTATTTAAAATACTAACGAATCCAGATCCGGATCCGAGTAAACGAAATAAAATATAGACTCGTACCCATTAAAAACAACCGGGTCCGGGTCTAGACCCGACCCATTGACAGGCCTACCATCAATTGTGCTACTTGTACACGAAATTTGTACACATTTTGTGTATATGCCTAGTTGTCCATGTACATAGCTTCTGAATGAGCTATGTACATTTCTTGTGTACAAGGGGATGTGTACAAGAAATGTGTACAAATTGTGTACAAGTAGCGTTTTTCAACACCTGTATTGGCATGAGAATATGCGATTATATACTTGTTTGGTTCACTTTTTAGTTTCAGTACTTTGATTGCTATATGGCATTATTTTAAATTATAATTTAGGTTTACTTTTTACCATTATAAAAATAAAAAGATTACCAAATTTTTCTCAATGTACGTATCCATAATTTTTAGGAAAAATAGGTAATATTAATCTCAACTATACCCGGTCCGTTTTTAATAATCCTTAATATAGATTATTTCCCTATACTCCCAACTTTGGGCCCCATTTTCTTAAAACACTCCCTTACCGGTTAAAATGAGTTATAACTGGCTAAGTAAACACGTGCAACACATCCCTCTTATCTTCTTCGTCGTCCACCGATTAAACCCATCCCTCTTATCTTCTTCGTCGTCCACCGAAATGAAAGGAGTACAGAGTCAAGAAAATAGAACGGTGAACTCTTCTTCCTCTCCTCTTTTCAACCGCGACCCAAGAAATCAACCAACGGGATACGACGGCGAAATGAGTTCGATTTATGGGTCATCTTCATGGGGTAGAAGGACCGAAAGCACTGGTTTTTCAAATCAGTGCTACCACAGACTATTTTGTGGACCTAGAATGGTGAAAAACGGGTCAAATACTGGGAGACAATTTTATGGGTGTGCATTATGGCCTGTAAGTTATTTAGTACTCCTAAGAATCTCTCTTTTGCCCGCTAATCAGAACTTCCGTAAGTTATTTTGTGAATTAATTGATGAGTTATTTTGTTGATTTCCAGAAAGAAGATTGTCATTATTTTCAATGGGTTGATGAAGGAAATCGTCCTTGCAAAGAAGACAACAGAAATGATAAGGAAATGTTGTTGGAGCATCTTTTTAGCAACAGAAATGAAGGACAAAAAGCATTAGAGGAGAAGATTGTTAGGTTGAAATTGAAGAAAAAGATGGTGGAAGCTAAAAATCAGGAAATGCAGCTACTCATTACCAAAAATTTGAAGTCCCAAAGAATGACATTCATTGCTGTTGTTGTCTGTTGGATCTGGTTTTGCATTGTGTTATACTATAAGTAATTTGGGGTGTGGATGTTTTGAGAGTTCTAGATATGTGTATTAACTGTATTGTGATGTAATGTGTAGTGAATGTTTTGATGGATTGGTCATTGGATAATACTTCTGAGAGGGATTAGAGTTTTCTCAGATAACTTTGTTGCATTGTAATGTGTAGTGGTTGTTTTGATGCATTTGATTTTGTTCTGTTGTAATATTTATGTAATGAAAATGTGTTATTGTTTTGACATGAACTACCTATTTTAACAGAATTGTTTGTACATGTAAAAGCACACATACTAAACTGAACAATAACCATATCTTAATGTACATGCAAATTGTGGTTCCAAACTTGGAAGTAAAAATGAGACTTAGAAGTCTGTTTTGATAAGTTCACAATAATGAACTTTTTGGAAACAACATCTGGTTTCAAACTAACTTGGAAGTAAATATGAGAACCACATATCTGGGAACAAACCACATATCATTGAACATGAACAACCCACAGACTTAGAAGTCTGTTTACATAAAAGTTCAAAATATTGAACATTACAAAGGTTCCAAATACTACCAACTCTTCAAGCAAGTTGATAAAAAAGGACTAACAAACACACCAAGTTAAGTCATTACAAAGCTTTGAAATACAACAAAGTCTAGAATCACAAACATCAAGTTCTTCTCTGCAACTTATTACATAATAACAATACTAAACATCAACTTCTTCTCTGCAACTTTGGACTGCAACTTTGGACAACAACCTAAGGAAATGAAGGACCAACTGAAGGCTCTGATAGATTACTTGGACCAGCTTGGCCGGGAGGCTGTAAACACAAAAAATATAATAACATTATCAGAATAATAACTCATAAAAGTAATGCAATAATGAGTTACAATAGCTAAAAAATACTTACATTAGTCCAGGTGTTGCCTTCTCCATCAACAAGGACTCCAAAGCCTACAGGAATTTGACCCTTACCTCTGCCTCTTCCAAATCTCCCTCTCCCTCTTGTTTCCCCGGGTCTTCTGCCTCTACCAGTTGTGTTACTTCCTCCTCTTGCTTGAATAAGTCTTCCTCCTCTCCCTATTCTTGAAGGTTGTGCAGTGGTTTGATAAGTGCTTTGTTGTGCTTCTGCATTTTGGATAGCTTTCTTGGGCCCCTGCTTTTCTTTTGTACAGGTTGAGCTTCCTTGTTTTTATCCGGGCATTTTCTCTTGTTATGATCTTTGGACTTGCACACACCACAGGACATCTCAACACCATGTTTTGTTAATTTTCCGGGCTTCTTAGGGTTTTCATGGGGAGACTTCATTCTATTTTTCCTAGGTCTACCTGGCCCAATCTTAATAGGTGGAGTTTGTGCTTGTGAACCAGAGGTTGTGCTTGTGAACTAGAGGTTTGTGGTGCCTTCCTTGTAATTGGTTCAGTTCCACTCACAGCAGCTGAACTTCTTGAACTCCCTTTTACCCCATCATTAACCCCTTTTTCAGTAGCCCCCCTTCATTTTCCCCACCACCTTCAAGTTGTAGCACCAATTCTGGTGAGCTTAGTCCATGTCTTATATAGCAGTCAATGATCTTATATTTCATAGCTACTTTGTACATTTCCCTGACCTCATCATCAAGCTTAACTCTTCTCAAACCGTTCTGCAGACTTTGACCAGGAATCAAGTTATAAATGTCATCAATACTGCTGTATTTTTCACATTTACCAGCAAACTCTTCTAACCAAAACCAGCACAACTCATCAGCATCAATTTCAAAACATTTGTATTCACCATCTACGTACTCCAACTTTTTCAGATTGTTATTCTTAAAGATACCTCCATGCCACATCTTAATTGTAATGACAGTTGAACTATCCATCTCAATTCGTACCTAAAAACATGATATGCAGTTCACGACTCAACATAAAAATTCAACACACTGATATAACCCTAAATAACACTGACATTTCATGAATCAGCATAAAAGTTCAGGTCTTTACCTTGGACTGTGAGAACCGTGCGCAAGACAGTCTGGGTACCTGGAGTTATTCTGATTTCTTCACCTACTTACCGACGACTACGACGACGGTGCAACACAGTCAAGGTGCCAGCGGTTCCTCCAAGTTCATGTTCTACGGTTGTGATGGTAGGTGAGCAAATATGTTTGGTATGCGAATGGAGTAATGACATGGCTGTTAGGATGTTTAACACTTTAATTTACTGATACTACCGGTCTTCGGTGTAGCGGAGTGTTTTAAGAAAATGGGGCCCAAAGTTGGGACTATAGGAAAATAATCTATATTAAGGATTATTAAAAGCGGACCGGGTATAGTTGGGATTAATATTACCTATTTTTCCTAATTTTTACAAATACAAAGATGAATATAAATGGTTAAAAATGTATGTTGGTAAATATAAACATGAGAATGTTACGTTGCTAGGTATGTTAAACATGAGAATGTATTGATGAGAATGTGACATTAATTTATTTGGTTGAAAGGTATCTTATATCTCAGATTTGGTGCATTACTTCAATGCCCATTAAATATTTTCTCTTAACACAATAAATCTATTACATCTTACATCTAAGGTAATTGAATCTGAAAATGAAATATCTTAATAATAAATAAAATCTAAACTAGTTGAATTATTTTTAAGTAAAGTATGTTTAATTGTAAAAAAATGTAGATTCAATACAGAAATGCAAAAAAACTTTGTATTTTAAAAAATAGCCCCTAATCGAAGATGAAAAAGTCAAAAAGAAAATGACAAGAGATAATTAATTGAGGCTATTTCGAAAGAAAATTAGGTCATCCCTAGAAATGTCAGATAACTCAAGGCATGGATGAGTTTAACATTTTCCCTACATATTATATTCTCGGGAATGACAAAGAATGTGATTAACAAGGAGCGAGAATGGAGAATTTATGTAGCATTGCCAGTACATGGAGTGATCGTGTGGCTAGGGTTTGGAAAACATCGCTTGAAGATTGATTTTGTCCGTACGCGGTTTATTGCTCTATATTTATTTTCAGCCTTATTTATGTTTCTTTAGACCTTTTATTGTATTTTTTGTTTTTGTTAGTGGTTTTTTTGAGATGCTTATGACCGTTATTTGTCCCGTATGTTCAGTGAAAATTTTCACTTTATTTCGGTGAACTTTTTTATTTTGAGTTTGTTGATATGGTAAAGAGTATAGTGACCATTTGGTGGTTAGAAATTCGGGTTGCTTCTTTGGAAGTGACCATCTCAGAATCTGATCGTAGGGCGTTTATTGAGTTTAGATGGAGTCGGTTAGAAAATAGATGAATTTTGAGTTATTAGCTGCAAACCATTGGTAAAATTAATATAATTTGACGTTTTTCCGTTAAAAACTGATATTTTATGTTATATTTCGTAGGAATGGCGCAAAAAGCAAATATAGTTTTAGATATACGAAAAGAGAGAAGTCAGAGAACCGAGGATAAAAAGGTGGTAAGCCCCACAAAAAATCTCCAGTAATCCTTTTTCTCGTTTTTTTTAAATAAAACGAATTTCCACACATTTTGCAATCTCATTTTTCTCATCGATAGAGGAAATATAATGGAAGACGAGGAGAGGGAGGCAAGGAGGAGGATTATTGTTGTTGTTGTTACTATTACTATTACTATTACTATTACTATTACTATTATTATTATTATTATTATTATTTTAACCACATCCGAATAAAAGAAATAGTTAGACGCCTATACATTTGTTCTATTTTGAAATGGTGACAACGGTACTCATTTAAAAAATGGGGTACCGTACCTGTCACTCACTTGATTGGTTCAAATCATTACATCATTTTTACTTTAGATTTAAATAATTCAACTACATCATTCTGATTGGTCCATGTGGACAAAGGTACGGTACCTTAAGGGTACTATAGAATTTACCTTTTTAAATAAGGTGACAACTTTGGTACCCATTTAAAAATTGGGGTATCGTACCTACCAATCACTTGAATGGTCCAAATCATTATATCATTTTTAATTTAGATTTAAATAGTGAACTGCAATATTCTGATCGATCCATGTGGACAAAGATATGGTACCTTAAGAGTACCATAGAATCTACCTTTAAATAATTAAATGATTAGCAGTCCGTATTATTTACTACTTTGATGCGTGCCTGTGCAGCATATATATCACCAAGGCCAATCGGAGAAGAAGATACAAAAACATTCCAAACGCGGCCTTAATCGTCCGATCTCCCTGAAAGACATCAACGATTGTGTGATATCGTCGGAGAACGTGCGGCTGGGATGTTCAATAACGATCGCGCTTGTGGTGGTCGCGTCTCACATGAGTGTGACCCCTCACGGCGGCATGGCAAAATCTAACAGCGTCATCGCCTCCAGGCCGCTGTACGTACTCATCCTAACGGACGTCACTGTTGTGGTGGCTCGTCTGCTGATTCCGACGCCGAAAGAAGCCGAAGAAAAGGGAGAAGAAGGCGACGACGAGTGGAGAGGAGCATTTGTATTTCTGGAAATTGGGTTGGTTATTTATCAGGCATTTCGGGCTCTCTTCATTGACTGCAGCTTTTATCTGGTTCTTGTTTTATGTCTTCTTTCTTTCTTGTAGTTTAGGGTGGAGAATTTTTTCCACCTGTGTAGCGGAGAGATATTTTTTTGGTAGTACAGGGCTCTGTGGTATTTTTTTATTCAATTTTTTTTGTAGTATAGCCGTATAGGTGTGTGCGGTAATTTTTTATTCAATTTTTTTATTAATACATACACGATGACATTTAAAACTATTACATTCTAAGTGTAGACAATAGAAAAATGAACTATCCAATAAGCTCTCGAACTTTCATAAAAAAAGCAAATAAATCCCTTTACAGGAGGCTTTATCCGGATGTCGCCATTTGGGGCGGTTTCTGGTGGAAGATTTTGATGAGGTTTTTTGAGCATATTCTTCATTAAGTATAGTTTACCCATACCAAATTTCATTTAAAAATTCAATCAAGAAGACAGTCAAATGATTTTCTGAAATATACTGCGATGCCTAACTGCGCAGTTATCTTCAAAAATTCATTTGACTGTTTTCCCGATTGAACTTTTATTTGAAATTTGGTATGAGTAAACTAGACTTAATGAAGAAGATGCTCAAACAATTTCATCAAAAAATTCCACCCGAAACTACTCCAAATGGCGATGGCCGGACAGAGCCTCCTATATAAGGGCTTATTTGCACATTTTATGAAAGTTCGAGGGCTTATTTGATTGTTCTCCCTTGATTTTATAATTGAAATGCTCTAAAAAAGTATTGATACATTAAATCGTAAGAAATAGCAACCTAAAGTAAAGTTATTTGAACATAAAGAGTTTAAAAGGTATACATCCACAGATACTTTTTAAATAACTTTTGTCTTGTTTAACCTCATGATTCTTTATCACAATAAAGAATTGGTTTTTGAATTACAATTTTTGTCTAACAAAGAGGGTGTTTGTGAGTCATGAAAAGTTTTCTTATTATTACAATAGTATGTATGACATTATTATTTTTAGAATAATATTATATTGTTGATTCATATATATGGTGCATATTATATTTGCATTAATGCTAAAATAAGTTAAAATTTATTATCTATGCAATAATTAGTTTGTAGAACGTAACAAGTAAATGGATTGTGTGATTTAATGTCAACAAATTAAAATTTTATATTTTGGATTCACCTCACATTGGTCTAAAAACTATTTAACAAGTGTGTCTGGTAGTTAATACGGAGTATCATTTGATATTTTACAAAATTGAGTACTAATTATCTAATAAAGATAACTAAATATTACAAAACTAGGAATTTTTATATAATAAATATCTCAGGTCTTAAACAATGACCAAAGTTGTTCTATTATATTGTTTATTTGCTTAAGTACGTAAATTATTTTAGATGTTTCTTCTTTTAAATCTCCAATTAAGTTTTACATTATGTAAGGGCCGGGCCGTAAGGCTATATATTAATTTTGAAAACTAAAAACTAAGGGGGGCAAACACATATATATCTGATTATAGTACGAAAAGTTTTATGAAAATATTACATACGGAGTATATAATGGAAAATTTTAAAGTCCAAGGGGGCGGTCGCACCCCCCTCCCCCCTAAATCCATCCTTGTCTATATATGTATAATACAGGTATATGTATAATACAGGGGGACTTGACATTGTTCATATTGCATGGACCATGCACTTGAATGGAATAAATAATATAGTCCATCTATTGGGACTATATTAATTAATAAGAATAAAACATACTCCATAACACTTAATTTTTTGTCATCAATACTCATGTTCTAATTAATTAATTGTTCCCCTAGTTGTCTTACACTATGTTTGGGAGTTTGGGGGAGAGAGGGGAGAAGACTTTAAAAGTATGTTGTTGGAGGGGGGAAATCAAGAGTGCCTATATGGTACGTCCGGGTGCATGTACACCCGGCCCAACCAAGGTAGACAGTCCAAAAACTAATACATGCCAAAAATAATTCGGTGTCATTTTTGTAATTTAAGCGAAAAATCACATCTTCCGCTAAATGAGCAATATTATACTTTTAATGAGCACCAGACCTATTTTATTGAGTATTTAAGAGACTAACAATGAGTATCACGATCCCTGCTTCATATCTTCTAATTCTTTTTTCTTTTTCTTATTTTTTCTTTTATAAAAACTTAATATATTATATCTATAAACACTCCTATTAATTTTAATATCCGAGCCTAATGTAATATGATACTTTTGAAATATGCATTCATATAACAATTCAAAAATGAGCATAATATCAGTACCAAATGAGCATGCATAACTTACAAAGTGCACATTGATATGAAAATCATAAGGTTTGTTAGTTGAACATCATGACATTTTAATTGAGCTTCAAACATCCGTTATATATTGAGATGAAAATCATGATTTCTTGTGCATGAGCATTTATGAACTTTTAATGAGCATCAGACCTATTAAAATGAGAATAAGATCAGTACCAGATGAGCATATGTACATACAAAATGAGAATTAATGAATTTGTTAGTTGTTTTGTTAGTTGAACATCACGATATTTTCATTGAGCATCAAACCTCCTCTATTGAAATCGATGAAAAATGTGAGTTCTGTTAAATGAGCATTAATGAATTTTTAATGAGCATCAAACCTATACAAATGAGCATATGTATCATGATTTGTGGTCTCGTCTCTATAATCAACATCTATATACATCTAAGGGAAACGTACGGAAAAGGTACTTGTGGTTGAGCCCATTTTCAGATAGGGTCATGTGTTTCATTCTTTATCAAAGTGGTTCATGTGTTTGAATTCAGTTATCACAAGAGGGTCATGCCATTAAAAACGTCAGAAAAAGACCATTAAAAGTAACTCCGATTTTCAAAAGTGCCCGAAAAATTAAAAGAAAACTACCGAAAGGTGCACCTCAATAAGACGACCGCTGGGCCATCTTTCTTTTTTGTTTTCAGCCACCCATGTCACCGAAAAATCCATCGAAAAAGTGATATCAGCGAAATCATGTTTAAAAAATAATTCAAACAGATCTGAAAAATCCAAAGGCAGAGGTGGTTTGGAGATATGAGTCTTTTGAAATATGCATTGCTAAAACATTTTAAAAATGAGCATAATAGAGATAGTAAATGAACATACATAATTTACAAAACGAGTATCCAAAAATTCAAAAGCTCATTTGTGTATGTTCATTTTTTAGACGTTTTACTCATTTAATTTTAAGGTAAAATTCATTTCTAAAGTGTTCGGTATTAATATATAAAGAAAAAGAAAGAAGTAAATAACAAATAAAGAAACCAAAAGAAGTAAAGAAAAAAGACAAAACAAAAGAAAGTAAAACCAACTCGTAAAAGTAAAGAAAAAAATCAGAAAGAGTAACAATCATGAATGAGTATGGCATGACTATGGCGGCAGAAGAAAAGAACGAAAAGGGGATGACTGCGGGAGTGGAAAGAAAAGAGAACGGCGGAGGAACAAGAAAGATGATGGAGCTACATGCGGATTCAAAGAGAAGAAAGATTAGAGAGCTAAGGCTTAAAGTTGCTAAAAATTACAAAATAACCGGGTGTACACGTACACCCGGATGTATGATATAATTTTGCCGGAAATCAAGGGAAGCTAAGGAAACTCTTCATTGTACTTGAGAGTAATAAATTTGAAAAACGAGAATTTGAATGAAACCTCCTAAATTGGGAAATTAAAAATTGAGCATTTAGAAAATTTTAGAGAGTAAGAAAAGCCCTCCAAAATTACCCCCTTAAATTTTTTTAACTCTCAAAACATGAAAAAAGTCATAAACACCCTTCAACCTTCCTAGGGATGGACTAGGTCCAACGGTCCGACCTAGTCTAGAATCAAGTCCGACATTGTTTGAGACCAGGTAACCGCTGGGCTCAGTCCCGAGCTTGAGTTTTGGGGACCAATTCTAGGTAGGGGTGGACTCGGGCCAGGTCAACCGGCCCACAATCGGCCCGGCCCGATACTGTTCTGGCCCAGCCCGGCCCGGTACCCGGGCCGGATGCATTATACCCGAACTGCCAATTTTCAGAGCAGACTCCAGATCTATAAAAAGTGAACCGGCCCGGCCAGGACGGGCCCGATTCGGGCCTTTTTTTTATTTTTCACAAACTTTGATAGTTAAATGGGTTGGACCGGATATTTTGGAGGGGTTTGGGGTGTGGGGGTAGGAAGTAATTAGAAAATCAAAAAAAGAATCGGGTCAACCGGCCCGACCCGAGGCCGATCCGTACCCGGTAGCAACCCGAGCCGGTTCCGGACCTCAAGAAACCAAAAAAAGCCCGGTGGCGGTCAAGCCTGGCCCGGGTCCATGCTTAGTTCTAGGCCCGACCAAAACCGAACCACTCGCATTCCCAGAACCAGCCAAGACTTGGTTAGACCCTATATTCCCCTCACGTTCCCGAAACCAGCCCAGATTTTACCTAGGGGTGGATTCGGTTCGGGCCACCCGGCCCGGTACTGTGCGGGCCCGGGACCGGCCCGGTCGGGCGGTCCGGGACCGGGTGTAGACCCGAACCGGTGGGAATGGGGCGGGGCGGGCACGGTTCTGAAAAAATGCGACCCGGCCCGGCCGGGTCGGGCCCGGGTCCGGGTCCAACGGTCATATTTAAAAAAATACAAATAAATGGCTACTAGCCGTTATGGGTGGGCTGGGGACAACCCAAACGGCTATATAGCCGTTGGGTGGGTCTTGGGGGGTTGGGTGGTTGGGGGGGTGGGGGGGGGGTGGGGGGTAAAAAACCTATAAATACTCCTAATCTTAAACATTTTTTCATATCTCTTCTCCAATTCTTCCTAAATCCTATTCTTAACTCTCTACTCTCTAATTCTCTTATTCTCCATTCTCCAATATATTATATTTATTATTTATAGTTTATAACTTTATATTAATTATCTACTTATATAAACTATAAATAGATATAAATAGTATTATATTACTTATATTTGTTATCTAATTATATATTACTTATATATTTATTATATCTATTAATATAGGCTGAATTATATCTAATTAATTTGAAGTCATTCTATTACTCTCATCCGAAAGACCGAAAGTCCGAAAGAGGTACGAAATTATTCTATTATTTACACTTGTTTAATTTTGTATTAACCTTACTTGAAAAAAAAACTAGTTAATTAGGTTGTACAATTTGCTATAACTCGAATTAATAGTGAGATTAATATATTGTACAAAATTCTAGTATTTACATTTGACTCTAGTTTAAAAACTAGTTGTAATTCTAATTATAGTTAAAGTTAAAGTGTATTAATTTCATTGTTAGTAAAAAAAATATATTGTACACAAAACTAGTTAATTCACTAGTTAATTTGCTATAACTCGAATTAATAGTTAGATAAATAGTTAATTACTTTTTTGCAATTTTTTATTAATTGTTACATTTGACTCTAGTTTAAAAAAATATGTTGTACACAAAACTAGTTAATTCACTAGTCAATTTGCTATAACTCGAATTAATAGTTAGATAAATAGTTAATTACTTTTTTACAAATTTTTATTAATTGCTACATTTGACTCTAGTTTAAAAAAATATGTTGTACACAAAACTAGTTAATTCACTAGTTAATTTGCTATAACTCGAATTAATAGTTAGATAAATAGTTAATGACTTTTTTACAATTTTTTATTAATTGCTACATTTGACTCTAGTTTAAAAAAATATGTTGTACACAAAACTAGTTAATTCACTAGTTAATTTGCTATAACTCGAATTAATAGTTAGATAAATAGTTAATTACTTTTTTACAATTTTTTATTAATTGCTACATTTGACTCTAGTTTAAAAAAATATGTTGTACACAAAACTAGTTAATTCACTAGTTAATTTGCTATAACTCGATTTAATAGTTACATAAATAGTTAATTACTTTTTTACAATAGTTAATTTACACAAATTTTGAGAATGCTGATTATGTGAGTTATTTTGCTAGTTTTATGAAGGAAAAGTTTTTAAAATATTATTCACATATTCCGCATATTTATGGTATTGCATTTGTTCTCGATCCTCGTTTTAGACTTGGTTCTTTAGAAGAATGTTTGAATTATTATTATGCTGCTTTTTTTGGTCCATTGCCAATGTATGAGGATAACCCAATTGATCCGAAAAAAGAATACAACGAGGTTAGTGATATATTTTATGCATTATTCAATGAGTTTCATGCACAATATGGCAATGCGCCCCCTCTCCCGACACAAACATCATCTAAAGGAAAATCAATTTTCAAATCTACGTTTGCCAATCTTATTAAAAAAACGAAATCAACTCCCGCTATACAACAAAGCACAATTAATGAGATTTCTTTGTATTTAACTTATGATGTTGATTTTGAAGAAGATGATTTTGACGTACTAAACTGGTGGAAGGGAAAAGAAAGAATGTTCCCGGTTTTAGCAAAGATGACTAAGCAAGTGCTATCAATGCCGGTTTCAACGGTTGCCGTGGAACAAGAATTTAGTTCGGCCGGGAATGTCCTAACACAAATCAGAACGAGGTTGAGTGCTGAATCTCTTGAGATGCTTATATGCTACCACGATTGGTTGAAAGCAGCCCGTAGAGCTCAAAAAATTGACATCACCCCATCCCAACACTTTATGGATGAATCTACAACCGAGGGTGGCTCTACCTATGCCGGAGATTCCGATTGAAGTATTGAATGATTGATTAGTATTTCATGTTTTAAAAACAATTATAGTTCCTATTTAATTTTCAAATGTAGTTCCTATTTCATTTCAAATAAATGCACTTGAAGTTTGTTTTTTAATACTTGTATAAAACTATAAAGTATAAAATATAAATTAAAAAATATATATATTTAACCGACCCGGCCCGGCCCGACGGGTGGCCTGACCTGTGACCCGGGTGGGTGGCCCGGCCCGAACCGGACCCGTCCAACCCTCGGGCCGGTCCCGGGCCCATGTGATACGAACCGGCGGCCCGACCGGGCCTAGACCCGGCCCAGGCCCGACTCGGCCCGAATCCACCCCTGATTTTACCGGGTTAGACCCGATCTTCGGTTTTCCCCTAGCACGATCTGGGTCCACTCATAAACCTTCTCATCCCTTTCAAAACCAACTCCCAAACATACCCAACCAGGTTAGTCCATCGGAAGTAGGGATGGATTCGGTTCGGGCCACCCGGCCCGTGACCCGGCCCGGCCCAGTACTGTGCGGGCCCGGGACCGGCCCGGTCGGGCGGTCCGGGACCGGGTATGGGCCCGAACCGGGGGGAAGGGGCGGGGCGGGTTCGGTTCATCATTTTTGTGACCCGGCCCGGCCGGGTCCGGGTCTATTTTTTTAAAAAAAACTTTTTTTTGTTTTTTGGCTACTAGCCGTTGAGGCCTTGGGGGTGGGGCTGGGGACAACCCAAACGGCTATATAGCCGTTGGGTGGGGTAAAGGGGGGGTCCGGGGGGGTTGGCTGGTAGGGGTGGTGGGGGGGTGGGGGGTAAAAAAACCTATAAATACTCCTACGCTTAAACATTTTTTCATATCTCTTCTCCAATTCTTCCTAAATCCTATTCTTAACTCTCTACTCTCTAATTCTCTTATTCTCCAATATATTATATATCTAGTTATTATCTACTCTCTAATTCTCTTCTCCAAGAAGTTAAGATGGAAAATCAAAATGCCATTATACGGTATAATTTTGATAAGCAGAAAGCCCCGAAGACCGGGATGTGGTACGCAATTTGCAAATGGTGCGGAAAAAAAATGTATCATGGGGGCTTCAGGCGGATTCGGGATGGCAATCAAGCATATGAAGTCATGTGACAAAGCCAAAGGATCGGGAGGTGCAGGAAGTTCCGATTGATTACAATTTTCAAAATGTTTCTCTTAAAGTTTGTTTTAATTTTCAAATGTAGTTCCTATTTCATTTCAAATAAATGCAATTGAAGTTGGTTTTTAATACTCGTATAAAACTATAAACTATAAAATATAAATTATAAAAAAAAATTAACCAGGCCCGGCCCGAACCGGACCCGTCCAACCCTCGGGCCAGTCCCGGGCCCACTTTTCTTGAACCGGTGGCCCGACGGGGCCTAGGCCCGGCCCGGGCCCGACCCGGCCCGAATCCAAGCCTAATCGGAAGCGGGCAAGTCAAGCGGAGTCTTGTGGTGCAAATCTAGATGTAGGGATAGTCTACTGGACGAGGATCCACACCTAGCAGTGGACCGGGCTCGGTCCGATTCCGGTTCGGGCCTGGGCTTGGCCGGGCTTAGATGGTTTTGGGTAAGACCCAGGACCGGCCGGGGAGTCTACCGGTTCCAAGCCAGGTCAATTCCAGTTTATTTATTTTTTTTGTTTTCTTATTTAATTCAACTCCCCCACCCCCCACCCCCACCCCCCCCAAACCGCTCAGAAACACCCAACCCACCTAAACCCAGCCCAAACCCAAAAAAAACCCCGAAAAATAGAGCCCGAACCGGGCCCGAACCAGCCGGGCCGGTTCACCCTTTTCGAGTCCCGGAACTGCCCCCGGTTACCCCCTCGGGCCAAGCCAAAGCCCGGTACCGGTACCGCTCACCTGGGTCAGGCCGGTCACACACAGTAGCTGGCCGGGCCAGTTCCCAGGCTGGTCAGACCAGATCGGATCCATGGCTATCCACCCCTCTGTTGAGCTCCTTGGGTGAGCTGTGAGCACAACCAACAATGCGCTACCCAGCTAATGCAGATTGCAAAGTAAAGAAGATGGTTGTATTTCAACTCAGCTATATGGAATTCCAACTATGGAACCCTGAAATGATTAAAGTGATAGAACTATGGAGAGATTGTGTACTCACAGATGCTTAAAAAAACAGATCAAACACAAAAAACATGTAAATATGCATTCATATATCAGAATTAAATTTGGCTCCTTTGTAGTTTGTCTAACAAAAATCTCTTAATAATCCAAAAACAGGACAAACTGAAAAAAGATGCTTGTCAAAATAACAAATTGTAAATGAACATTGACTTAAGTAAACTACAGTTGCTCCGGTTCCTTCTAATCGTTTGAGAACCTAAAGCCCACTTCAGTTTAAGCCACCAAGGTGCTGGCAGTTGTAGACTCACTGCAAATCGAAACAAACAAAACAAATTTCAGTGAGAAAAGGTCGTGCGACATTTTGGGAGAAACATCAAGGTTAATAATTGTCAAGCCCAACACTACAGTGGCTTTCAGAATGCACATAAATTTCACAATATAATAAACAAACTTTAAAACTAAATTTATGTAAAAAAATCTATAACTTTCTTAAAAATTGTAAATTAGTCTTGATTCCTTAGCTCCTTTCCGATAGCCACAGACAACAACAACATTACCCCAATGCCACAAAGGCTCCCACCTACGGTGGGGTAAGGGGGTCAAACGTACGCGGCCTTACCCTTGTACTAAAGCACAAAGAGATTGTTTCCGGATAACCCGTGATGAAAACTGTGTCAAAAATTGAATGGACTGTACTGACTGCTTCATAACAAAGAAGCGTAGACAGTTCAGTGAGCAATTTTGCTTTATTCCATCCATCGTTTAAAATTGCGCAATGCAACACCGCAATAAGGCACGCAACAGTAAATTCAGAGATAAAAGCGGATTATTGCATTGCTAAAGGCGGGAGTCTGCTGTAATCTTACGCGTTGTTGCGCAGAGGCGTACGTTATGCCTACTGCGCTTCAAGGCGAGGTGAGGCGAGCACCTTAACAGTTGAAGTAATATGTGGGCCGATGTGGCCGACTTTATTATTTTTTTAGTGCGACAGCCTACCTCGTCCTGCACGTACGCTATTTATTCCCTTCGCTGCTGCTTAATTATGCATCAGTCATGGTTGCCAAAAGTGTTCTTCTCCATCAATTATTAGTTGACAATGTTCCCCCAGGCTTCTTAATACTTCGATTGCTTCATCACATGTGTGTCTTCTATATTTTGACTTCAATTTTTTTGTTAGTAATACCTCGTATATGGTTCATGGTTGTCAATCGTTATTTGATAATTTCAGTTATTCTTTAATCACAGGTGCTTTTTTAATCTTAACTTCAATCAATAAATCCTGTAATTGTTTTGATAATTGATATAGAAAGTTAATTCTACATTTATCTTAATTTTAGTGATACTAAGTATATGGTTGTCCATTGTTTTGATAATCTCAGTTCATTGATATTATTCATGAATCACCAGTGCTTCTTTTAGTTCTTTATCTCAATTTCAGTTGATAGATACTATTTTATTATTGTTTAATCACACATTGAAAATGATGGATAGAGTTTGCCTCAAACAATAAATAATTTTATTAATGCTATAAAACTCTTTCAGTTTCATTTTAATGTTGTTCTGCCAACTAAAACTGTATTAGCTACTACCTCCGTCCCATTATATGTGTCCTACTATGGTTTGGCACAATTATTAATAAAGTAGTTGAAAATGAGAAAATTGTGGTTGAGATTTGAGTATAATAAAGTGAAATGTTGTAGACCACATATTTCTTTCCAAAAAAAGTAAATGTGAGATTTATTTTGGGACAACCCAAAAAGGAAAGTAGGACATGGAAAATGGAATGGAGGGAGTAAAATATAATGAAATTTAAATAGCACACACACCAAGGGGTAAATTAGATATAATAAAATTAATTTGAAAGATTCTATGACATGCACCAAATAAATCATTTTCATTTTCATTTACCCCAGTGCCGCAAAGGCTCCCACCTACGGTGGGGTAAGGGGGGGTCGGATGTACGCAGTCTTACCCCTGTACTAAAGCAAAGAGAGACCGTTTCCGGAAGACCCATAGTGAAAATCGTGTCCAAAATTGCATGGACTGACTGCTGCTCCATAACAAAGAAGCGCAGACAGTTTAGTGAGCCATTTTGCTTTATTCCATCATAATCTCAAGCCAAAAAAATGAATCTTTGGCTCCATAGCAAATGATGGAAACTGCATAATGCATATGCAATGGAGGTAGAATATGAGAACTGTGTGCAGTAAAAGAAGCCCAAAACATACCAAAGAGACATACACCTGAATAACACTTAAGGTTTGAGAAGAAAAGAAAAAACGAAGGATAATTTAGAACTGAACCAGATACATGAAAGTGAGAAGAGACGTGGAGAAATCTTACTATTTCCAAACAGGGGGGAGTTTCTTGGTCTTCTTGTAGTAGCGCGCAAGGCGATGAATCCTGCTCTCAACAAGAATCAGACGGAACTTGGAGTCTTTGTCCTTCCTATTCCTCTCTAAATGCTTCCTGATTGCAACTGCCTTCTTAATCAAATGGTACAGATCCTCTGGTATCGCGGGAGCCAGTCCTGTACACAATTTGCCAAAGCCACCCGCATTTTATTATAATACTATCAAGCAACCAAATTACCCTCCAGATATTTGTATAAAAAAATATTACCATGTGCCTTGAGGATGCGGAGAATTTTGCTTCCTGTGACACTCTTCACTTGAGCAATTCCATGTGAATCTCTCAGAAGAACACCGATCTGTGAAGGTGTTGTACCTTTTTTTGCAAACTTGCATATGCTCTCTTCCACCTTTGGTCATCAAAATTAAATTAAGGGTCCATCTTGAAAACAGAAATTGATACAGAAAGAAGATAGTGAGGAAAACAAAGATTCGGAAAGAAGGGAAAGATGGGGGGAACATCTGTTTAAGCTTACTTAACTTAATTGAATATTTTTTAGAATTCTTAGTTATTTTTTCATGTTAAAAAATCTTAACTTAATTGAATATTTTTTAGAATTCTTAGTTATTTTTTCATGTTAAAAAAATACTAAGCCAACTGAATAGATATAGAAAATGACACTTCTTAGCATTTTCGTTTCTTTCTACCTAGAATTTTCCAAGTTCTGAAGACCCTCAAGCTTTTTAAAGTGAAAAGCGCACAAAAGCGAGAAGGTGAAGCTCTGCTTAAAAGTGAAAGCGCAAAGCCTTGCTATCTCACAAAAATGGACACATCAAATACAAATAAAATATATGAGGTCAATAAATAGCTGATACAAATCTCATAGACCAATTTTGTGATGAGTATGACATGTAGTTTGAAAAGAGTGATTCCTTGGTAACATCCACTCCAGCACTAAGTTTAAAATCATCTGCTTCATGCACTATTGTAAAAATAACACTCTTACTCCATGCACTAACACGTGTTCATAATAATTTATATTAGGTAAAAGAACTGAACATACTGTTATTTACTTATTTTCAATTCAAATTTACTATGATCTGCCAAAAATGAAAGCAAAAGTGAGTGCCTGCTAAATCTAGATACAGGATGGAGTTTTCACTACTAAAAGGATGAAATAGCAACTAATCACGCCGATTTCATTCTGATGTCTATTTGATAAATGTTAGTACACACTATAGGTTATAAAGTTCAATATATTCCATTTAAGTGTTTTTTAAGATTTGAAGGAATTAATGGAGTAAAATAGATTCATCAAAAACTTTTATCTATTTGGGTAGTATTTTACTATCTGATCTAAACAGATGGTAAACTAATTATTAACTTTTGTTGTTTATAGTTGATAGAAAGTAATGAGTGGTGTTTTGATATGTAGCGGGACAACATTTAAGTACATGGATTGTTTTACAATTTAATAATATTCAAAATTAAAAAAAAAATCAGATTTTAGCTCTGACTCTAAAATTAATTTGAAGTTCTTGCTTTCAAACATTTTATTGTTAAAATAAACTTTCAGCCTTACACAATACAATCTATGCACATAGTTTATCTCTTAAAACATAACAATGAAAGGAATTATAAAAAGCTCCTCTTTATGTGAATCTTTATGTTTTTACTTTTTAGTTTCAAACTGTTTTTTACAATCATTTTTTGTTTGAGTATGTTTGAATCTTTTTCTTCTGATTATGAAAGCATATTCTTCTGTTTATGTAATTGTAATCTTCTCCAAACATATAAGTTGAAGCAAAAACACTCAAGCGAAGAAGAACTGAAAAACTATAAGTGAGAAGTAGAATTTCAAAGAAGAAGTTTTAACCTTAAATTAACCTAAAAATGCAAAAAAAAACTTATGTGAAGAAGAACTTAACACTAAAAGTCAGAAGTAGATTTTCAGAGAAAAAGATTAAGTTTTAAATTTTAATTAACCTAAAGATGTCAAACCAGAAAGAGCAGCAGAAGCCTAAAGTTCTGGTGTTCGGAATTAGAAAAGAAAGTAGATAGAAAACTTCAAGTCATAATAAGTCTGATAGCTCTAAAAGAATTGTGCATCATTTTACTGGGATGATAAAAATTAAAAAACATATATTAATGTACTTCATATAATCCATTTTTGGCTGCTTAAATTATTTCAAATGCATACATAAGTTCAGGATTCTTAGTCCTTGTATAATAGAATTACATAAATGAACAAATTTACAGCAATTAAAGAAACCTAAATTCTTAGTCTTTGGTCATTACCAAATACAGGCGATCGCCATTTATCTTTATTCCCCAATTATGAAATAACGTAGGTATTCACCAACTAGCATTAATGGCATTAGCTTTACGATATGCAAAATTAAAAACTTTTACTCACTTCTTGCGCGGAGACCTTGAGCCAAGCTGGAGGAGTTCTCTTGTAAGGGGGGCATGGAGCTGAGATACCCTTACTACAATCCAATAGAGCATGTAAATCAGACAACTTTCGATTATATCTCTCCGATAAATAAAATCGGATGAAAAACACAGATATACTGAGTGTTATTATATATAAAATAAAAAATAAAATACCCGCGACTGTGCATACGACCCATGGCTGCGGCGGCGGCGTGACACTCCTGATAATTGTTACAAAGGCACAGATCCGGTAATATGAATAATATTTGAAACGGCTAATGTGACATTCTTCTTATATACTATCAGATGTTAGGAGTTGGAATCAAATAAAGTGAAGCCATACCTATACAAATTGAAGAACGACGACCCGAAATCGGAGGCAAATGCCGAACTCAGTGCGACTGCGGAACACTGCGAATGGAAGCTTATACCGTGGCTTCTAGGGTAGAATAATCTATAACCTGGGCTTATGTTGGATATTATATGGCCCAATCGATCTCTACAAATAATCTATAAATAATTAGGAGTATAATTCACAATTCACCATAAATATACAATATAAGAGTAAACGTAAACATAATTACACGAATAGACGTCACACTTCAAACTTTCCTCAACATAATTAAATATTAATTTTCTACCTTTGATACTCATAATCTAATTAATTAATTAAAGAGTACACATAATTACTCTTTACAAATGTCAAATTTTCTCGGAAAAGTGCCATCAAGATGACACTTTTGACAAATGTTGACTTTTTTCCAGTGGTCGGAGCTGGTAGTGTTGGGAGGTTGTTGTGACGGCAACATAGGCCTGCATGCTTTTTTCTTATATTTTTTAATATTTTTTAAAAAAAAATTATTTTTAAATATTTTTTATTTTTATTAATTTTAATTAATACGGAGAATATTTTATTTAATATATATTTTTCGTGTTTTTTTATACATTTTTATTATATAAATTAATGTTATTTCTTTATGTTTTAATTATTAATGAAAACTCTTTAGTGTTTAAGAGAAAACCATAAATTTAGGATGGAGGCGATGACAATTTGTAGGCTGGAATTCATCCTCTTTGATCATTGACATGATGCAAGAGTTGTTTCATCAACGGCCTCTGACGCCAATGACGAAGTGATGTCATTAACTCTCAAAGATTCTTGTTAGATGTATGGCCCAACTGGACTATTCTTCTTTTCTGATTGTGTTTGTTTTGTTCTGTGGCGATTCTTTCTCGACCACACACACTCATGGTTGTTTTGTCTCTCCCGATGTGGGAAGTTGTTGCGGTGTCCCGATCAACTTCGTCTGGTCAGTGGTTTTTGTCTATTTTCTTATGGAGTGGATAGTCAGCATAGACATTGCTAGAGCTCGTCCTCATCCAGAACCACCATCGTGCCAGGAAGAGTTTTGTGGAAAGACTTTGTTTCAATTTTTTCCTTTAGTAATAATTTTTTTATCTCAGTTTGAGTAGGTTTGATTTGAATATTTGGATTTTTGGAGTATGTTTGATGGGCTGTGTTTCGAGTCCAATTGTTTTAGGCTTAGAATTGCCCGATTTGTATCTGGCGAATCGGGGTGCGTTGTATGAGTTGGCTGATTCAATATCAATTAGTAGGGCTGACGATCAGATCCGTCATAGCTGTCTAAATATTTTTTTGTATGTTTTTCGATTTTAATACAAAAACCGCTCTCTTTTTTTTTCAAAAAAAAATATTAATGAAGGTGGTCGGAGCTTGGGTAGGGGTATATTTTTCCAAACACTAAAATTACTCTTATTCAAAACATGGTACTCATATTTTTGCTTTTTGCCTATGTTTTATTCTTATTTGGGGAATTCACTCATACAATTATGGAAAATTTTGACACGTGTCATTTTATAAGCAACTCATTCGGCATGTCTTCGTCCAATTGGATTTTGTCAACTTTGTCTCTTTGTTGTTCCAAAAAACTTTGACATTTTTTCATTAAAGTAACACATTTGTGGTTATGCTAATTTCTCTCTTTTCTATATAAATCTCAACCACATTTTTTTGAAAATCAAATTACAAATTAATTCATATCAAATGATAGCAAAGAAACAAGTAAATGAATATCCTAATCCTACAATGTGAAGATACTTTGAATAGAAAAGATCACATCAATCCTTCCAGATCGCTAAACCCGCAATAATGTAGTCTAGTCTAACAGTCTTGTTACACTTGCTACTCCAAATAAAAAATTACAACTAAAAAATTCGACTTTACCAGCCACGGGAAAGGAAGAATTGATTTCTGTTAGAATAATTATTGGTTGTGTTCAATTTATTTGTAATTTATTTAATGAGTCTTTGTATTTAATTAGATTAGCTGAGAGAGAATTAGGCCCAATTATTAGTGCTCTTAATAAGCCCACACGCCTAAAGCTGGAGTCTTAATTGTAATAGGGTTGGTCAAGCATCTCTTCTATAAATAAGGCTGAGATGGCCGAAAACAACTCTAAGTCTCTACACATTCTATTCCGCATATTATTTTGGTAGAGCACGTAGATTAGAAATTCTTTCTCTAGATGTTCGAGTACTGTGTATTGTTCTTTATGGATTCATCATTCTATATACACGGTATACGTTATTGGTGAAAATTTTATTCTACTGTTTTAATTCTTTCTATTATTCTTAGATTATTCGACTGTTGAAATCTGGGCATAGTACACACAATTGGTATCAGAGCCTCGGCGCAATTCGATTCTTTTGAATCCTTGAATTTTCTGGAATTAATTTGATCAAAATCACAATTTTTGGTTGAATTAATCTCTAGATCTATTCTTGGAAACTTACTATTTTGGAAGGTTTCTACAATCAGGAAAGAGAATCCCAGAAGATTAAGGTTACTATTTTTTTCGCTCATCCGAGATCATCAGGAATTCGCTCATCCGAAATCCTGAGATTTCGAAGCTCCGAAATCTTAACTCTGCAGGTCATCCGAATTAATCACATCCGAATTTCTAAATTCGGAAACTCGAATTCAGTGCATCTGAAATCAGTGTAACCGAAATCAATTCATCCGAAATCTGCATTCGAGATTTTCTTTTAATCCTTAATCCGAGATTCATCCGAAATCTTCTAAAGCAGCACCGAAATCCTTTTTTTAAACACGAACAGTTCTCGCCTTTAAGATCAACAATAGTCATGGAAGCTTACACTCTTGGAAGTGATTCAAGATCTCCTCTACTTAGAAGGGGAGAATTTGCAGTCTGGAAAGTCCATTTTCTCAATTTCATTCGAAACCGAGACAATGGAAAGAAAATTATGATCTCTCTTAATGAAGGATCACTTGAAGTTTGGGTTGATGTTCCAGCAGTCTCAACTAACAATCCTCCCATACCATCTGGTCAGGCATTAAAATCTGAGGATGATTACACTGAACCTGAGAAGCTTAGAGCAAATGTTGACCTTCTTGCTGCCACTTATCTGCTGCAAGCCATTCCCAATGACTTGTTTATGCAAATTGATAGCCTCACTACCACTAAGGACTTGTGGGATGAAATTCATCAGATCATGCAAGGTACTGATGTTGGAATCAAATCCAAACGAGCACATACCCTTACTGCATATGACTCCTTTGCTGCTAGGCCTAACGAAAAGATGGAAGATACCTATCAACGCTTTCTCACGGTACTTAACGAGATGAAAAAGATCAACATCCGGAAAACAAATATGGAAGTTAACCTTCGTTTCCTAAGATCTCTCAAGCCCGAATGGAAGAAAACAGCCAAGCGAATCAGACAAAACAAAGATCTGGATGAGCTGACCATCCACAATATGTATGACTGTCTAGGGGAATTCTCTGAGGATATTCGTGAAAAGATCAACTCTTCAAAGGGAAAGAACATTGTTGACACACTTGCCCTCCTCTCAACCGAGAAGAAGAAGGAAAAAGCCCCTAAATTTTCCTTTGAAGATGACTCATCCGATGAAGAGAAGAACATGTCTGATTCTGACCCTGAGATTGATGAGCTAAAGAAAGAGTTGGTCTTGCTAACCAACATGACAAGGAAAATAAACAAGAAGTTCACTATGTTCAGAAATCGTGCCACAAACAAAGAACTTCTTCCTCAAACTATTCCGAAAGAGTTAGAAGACCATCAGATAAGGCTGTCAACGGTGACTCAATGAAGTGCTTTAAATGTGGAAAGCATGGACACTTTGTTAAAGAGTGTCGATCTGCCAAGAAGAAGGATTTCAACTACTACATGCAGAAGGCAAAACTCGCTAAACAAAAGGAGCAAGGGGTTGTCCTAATGGCTGAACATGATAGAAGGCTCGAAGATTCTGAAGATAGTGAGCCCGAGAATCTGGCTCTAATGGCAAGAGTAACTGGATCTGGAAGTGATAGTGAAGACTCTGAAGAACAAGACAATGCTCCTACATCTGCTGAAAATGAGGTAAGTAACCTAAACTCTTTAATCTCTCAACAAAACAACAAAATGAAAGAGTTAATCACTTCTCTGAAAAGAGATACAAACAAGATAAAAGAACTTGAAGATAGACTTGATAACAATCAAAAGGTTCTGAAAAAATAAGTGTTAGAAGGAGCTTTTGAATCTGCTTGCTTAAAAGACTCACGTGAAAAAATTTCTAAGTTAGAGTCAGAAGTAACTAAGCTTAAGCAAACTGTTAGTGACTTAACTAAGGAACGTGATGAGAATAAACGACAACGTTCTGAAGCTGTTATTCGATATGATCTTATTAACAAAGAACGAGGTCAACTTTACTCTAAGATACAGGAGTTAAAGGATATCTTAGCCAAGAAAGGTCAAACCGAACAGACCGTTAGGAATATTTTATGGTGTCCAATCTAATTAAATATCTTTGTATTTGTGTAGTTATTAATTAAACGTGTAATACGGGCCACAAATGTGTATCAGCCCATTAGCTTCTTTGTAACCCGTAAGTTAGCCAACTTCTCCTATAAAAGGAGGCTAATTTACGGGAACCCTAATGATCGAGGCTTTAGAGAATAGAGGCGCAGAGATAGAGAGATCAGGGTTTGCCGCTGCTCTCCTTCTCCAGGGAGAGCAGCGGCCAGTTTACACGGTATACCAAATGTGTTGTTAATCTTGATATCTTTCTATCTGCTTCTTTATACATGTTATGATTGTTCGATTGTTAAGTTTTGGGACTGTCAAAGACAATTCATCTTTTGAACAGTAAAATCAAGGATACTCGGTTTTACAATCCTAGAGAAGGACTAGGTTTTTAAAACCCTGAGAATTTGAAAAAGGTTTATTGCCTTCAACTGTACGACATAAGGTACATGAAGTTAGGGTTAACTAAGCTGATGAAATTTACTAGTGCTTCTGAAACTATCAAGGAGGAAGAGGTCAAAAGGAAAAATAGGGCTAAAGCTGAAATTAGCTTTGATTATACTGCTCTCAATAACAACTATGCTACTAGAGAAATTCCTTTTTCAACTGACTATCTTACCCATTCTCCTCCTGAGAATC